AGTATAAGCGGTTGCAATCAGCTCATACGACTTGACGGGGTCTCGAGTTTATATAGCTCAGAAAGACTTGGAAGGTCAAACGCTGGCGCAGGATTGGGAACGTTGCAAGCAGCAGAGTCTGTGCATGCCTGCCTCCACAACTCAAAAAGAAAGGCAGTTATCGAAACTGAGGTTTTTGTTAGGTTTGCGTTTTTCCTCCTTCCGTGATATATGTGGTTCATACGAATACCATGGGAGTCTATTTTCATGTAGTACTCTGCTATTCTTATTACTATTACATCCTTTATTGTTTTGTCCTCTGACAGTACAATATCGTGTTGCTTTGTGATCTTTTTCCATGTTGTTTTATGCCAAGATCGTACTCTCTGAATTCAGATCAATTCCATTTCAGTTATCGCATCTCCTTTCGGATCTGGAAGGTAGACGCGTCAGATATTGCTTCTAACACTTCGGCAAAACATAACCGGAGTCTAGAACAATCCTTCAATACACATGGCCGAGGTTAATTTTGGCTGTGCTCGGGGTCTTCTGCCGGTCAGATGGTTAAGTAATAGTTGCTTCGCCTTTTTTGGTAGACATTCGCAGCACGTGCCCAAACTATGGCAGATATGACTTTTCGATCTGGAGTGCATCAAGGCTCTCTCAGATATCTCAGGTCCCGATAATGTCGAGAAGCATGAGGCCACAGGTTCGTCTCAAGAAGTTTGGTTTACCAGATTGTATCCGGGATCGACGCTGTTCAGTGAAGGTCCACGATCAGGAACGGAGGTGCGCATGGGGATGAAGATGGAATTGAATTCAGTTTGCTTACTCTTCAGACATATCTCTGTTTAAGTCATAACGGTTCGGGCAACTTCACACAGAACGCCACGGTCACTTCATCCCGTCGGTCCATTTCCGTTTATCTGATAAGGGCAACGGGCAGGAGAACGAGAAAGCGCTCGACTTTATGTTTTCAATTCATTCACACGCATTCCGGCAACGTCGTTCTCAGCTGCAAACTTTTCCAGGGAGTACTGTAGGTCGGTTTGAGAAGTTACCAATAAAACAAGAACGTTTGCAAACAGCAACCTTCTCATCTCCACATCTCTCACATCAATACCTACTCATGACCTTGGCTGTTTCTGACTATTGTATCAATGTACAGCATAAACAGGAAGGCGCAAGTTATGTGGACGCCAACTGAGGACGGCAGTTCAAGGATATTAGGGATGGTATCATGATGGACAAAGTGGATAATTTCAGGTGCTGAATAACGATAGCGATAGTGATCCTGAAATGAACCAGCGTAGAGGACTGGCATCATCGATTTATGGGTAAGCTGTATGTCATATGAAAGGATCGTACTGTAAGAACGAAAACAAGGAACGCCATTCTGAAAGAAATCGTTTTCCCAGTGCTCGTGCAAAGTCTCAAAACATCTGTCATTCTGAAACGTGGTGGAATCTGACAGTTTCCAACAGCGGCTGTCTGCAAAGTATCCTTCACGTGCGATTGTGCCGCTAAATTATGCGTAAAACTAATGACAACGAGTGGTCTCAGGTAACTGCTAGATGAACCTAGAGACCATAGCCTGTCTTGGCTTCATAATGCGGCCCTCAAAGAGAATGAACATCTTTTCAGTACTGCACTCAGGAGGGGACCACGTACTTTCTTAGATGTGCTGGAGACATTGCGAAACGTGGGAACGCTATCGTTGAACGAAACCTGCCTGCGAATAGGAATATGGCCTCTGCCGCAACAGTAACTCCTGCCTAATGTAAATCTTATATATAACCCTCACATGTCAGACATGCTCATCAGCATGGATTACTCTGGCACTCATTCTCTGTCCGCCTCAATCCTCGATGACACGACATAAGCAACATCCAAGTGTCAGTTTTTGTTCAGAAGATTCATTAAGAGCGCTGAAGCTGAATGGCCAGATGTTGGAACCGTCACCATCAGCAAGGGGTACTCACTGAGCTGTCAACTCTTTGTACAATACTAGCGTTGGCTTGGCCGAAGTGCAATTTCTCGGCGATAAGGCAATAAAAAGATCAGGGGTATTCCTGCTCAACTCGGCTGATTTCGTTCAGCCTACTCCAGATCAATACAACCTTGGCGTAAGAGGTATAGTTGAGTATGTACCTACCTCACAGTAGATGATGGATCCATCTGGGTGGTGAGGTCGTTTCGTGTGTGGTCACTCACGCATATTAAGCACCCTCCTGCCACCGGGGTGGCACAGCAAATCATCGCATCAAATC